TTGCTGTCGATGTAGGCTAGGTCTGTGATATTTGTGAACTTGAATTATGACTTGAGTCCCGAAATCGTCTATGAGATAAACGAGGTTCGGAGTTTTATCTGTCAGAGGCAAAGAAGACTTACAGTACAATGAAGCTCAGAACTCCTATGATACCACATGGCGCAAGGAAGCTAATCAACTGTTTTTGAAATATAACCTGGAAATTAAAGCTACCCTAACTCGGTAGCTGTGGACAGACTTGCGAGAGAGTTGTGAGTTTTCTTTGTGATCAGCCATGTGGAACTCTTTCAGATCGTTCATTTCAATGGCGACGTTTCGTGCCTTTAACCCTTCTTTTCTACGAACTTCACATATATGGGCTGCGTCAACATCAGTTCAACTGTTACATGTGTATACATAGCAAGTTATTCAAAGAGGAAGCCAAGTTCAATAATGACTGACAAGCTTCTGAGGAAAGAAGGGTATTGTGGGAGTGGGTCCGGGAGCATGCTGCTAGATGGTTCAATAAGTGATGAAAGGCAAAACATTGATAATCTACACTGGCTCGCAATCTTTAGCTACAGGAATGGGACAGCTAGAGTATGGATGGGGTGGAATATTTCAATAGTTGGGATCTGAGACAAGTCGTACTGCTTCCGTGACGGGCCAATGGGGGTGTTAGCAACGCATGGTGGCTTAACTTTCTGGCAGCGTCGCTAGGTAGCGGGCTCTCCCGAAGCAGACAGCTCCCACAGTCCTTCCAAACACTGTGCAGGGAAGGATAAACGAAAGCACATGCGGTATAGCTGAACTTGAACATTATTTCAGCCAACCCACAATCTCTCTGCACTCTCGAGGTTCAAAAAAAATTTCAGTTCAGATGTATTCGGCATGATCCGGAACAATTCTGATAGCATTAACTCGATTAGGATATTTAACACCGATGTTTTTGGATGACAGTTGCCAAATCATTACCGTGAATCACTACAATGAATCACTACAGTCACAGGGTCTTGATGTAGTCGCAAACAAGGGCCACTACCGCATGAACAACTAACTTCAGACCGGTCAGTATAACCTCAATATTCGCCAGATTGTTTGAGAAAGTTCTTAAAAAGAGACTCATGGCACATTTGGAGCAGTATGAAATAATTTCTGAAAACCAACACGGCTTCCAGAAGGGGAAATCAACGGTAACAGGCATGCTCCAGGCTCTGAATGATTGGACAATGTATCTTGATAATGACATTGGAGTGGACGTGATTTATTTGGACTTCGCGAAGGCGTTTGACAGAGTGTCTCACCATAAACTCATAACTAAACTCGAACTAGTTGGAGTTCATCCCAGAATTGTTAAGTGGATACAATCTTTTCTTACTGATAGAGTGTATCTTGTGCGAAGTTTCAGAGCCTAGGCCGAGCAGTGGCGTGCCGCAAGGGGGGGGGGCGTCTGTCTCCACTTCTTTTCAATATATTTACTTTGAATTACCTCGTCTCATAGTCTCTAGAAGGAGTCAAGTGCGTTGCTTTCGCTGATGACCTCAAAATATATCACCCTATCTCATCAGACTCGGACAAAGTGCTGTTGCAAGCGGTCATCAATGAGGTTAGCATTTGGGCCAAGCAATGGGGCTTACCTCTATCTAGTGAGAAAACCAAGGCGCTACGCAGAGGGATTGTCCTCGTATTCGATTCAAGGGGTACGTCTAGATGAGGTTAAAGAAATTAGGGACCTAGGTTTCCTTATTCGGAGCGACCTAACTTTTGATGCGCACTGTTCTCAAATCGCAGCTAAAGCAACTGTGGTTTTACATAACATGTTCAGGTCACTCCTAACCAGGGATTCCCTCGTATTATGCAAAGCATACAAGACTTACATTAGACCTCTGTTGGAGTACGGGACCGTGGTTTACAATCCGAATAAAAGAAAAAGTATAAATGCTCTAGAAAGGGTACAAAATAACTTTACTTAAAAGGTTCCCGTGCGAGCGGTGAGTACGACAAATACCTGCCAGTGTGGTGAGGAACCTTATCCT